TTTTTTTTTTTTTTTTTTTTTTTTTTTTTTTTTTTTTTACCTCTGTTAAGTGGTTTGTTGTACCATCTATCTTTTTTAATGTCTGGGATGGTAATTCGTGCTGATGGATTCTCAACCAGAATTTTATGAAGCAAAGCTGAAAACAAAAGGAGTATTTCAAAAAGAGTTAAGCAAATGAAACAAACCTTAAGAGACACAAAAGCCAGGTGCATGGTACACACCTACCGCCTCAATACTTGAGAGGCACAAGCAGGATGCTTGAAGCCAGCTTAGGACACACATATTAATTTCTAAAAGAACTATTCAAGTCCCAACATGCCAACATCACAGGAGTGAAAACTGACTCAGCTTCTAGTCCCAGCACTCAGGAGGCTGCAGGGAGGATTGTCAGTCAGGCTCAGCCTGAGATTGAGACCACATGGCTAACACAGATCCTGTCTCCAAAACAAACTGACACCTGGCGGTGGAGACTGGAGGATTAGGCCATCCTCTACTATACAGCTGAGCTTGGGGATCAGCTGGGGTTAAATAAGACTGTGTCAAAATGAACAACAATAAAACACACAAATTAAACCACAGAAACACTAAATGAGAACAAAGATGTGTAAAACAACATCAGACTAGAAAAGACCTTTCTAAACAGGATAATGTAAGTAAAAAACATAAATGACAAGAATTTAGGCATGAAAAATTTAAAACATCTGCACATTAAAATAACTAGCAAAATTTAAATAAATGACAAATTCTAGGAAATACTGTGATAACATATACAATGGTCAAATAATTGTTTTTGAAAAAAAACCCAAAGAACTAAGAAAAACTAAATTTCATTGCCAAAGCTAGGCAAAACTGGAAAAGTTAGTAAATTACATATTCAGTATTAACATTGAATTTAAAATAAAATTTAAGAAACAGTATCAGTACAGTCTTACTGGTTAAAAATTCATTTTTGCCATGCATGGCAGTGTATTTAATCCCACTATTCAATAGGCAGAGGCAGAGCAATCTCTCTGAGCAGTAAAGTTAGCCTGGTCCACATAGTGAGTTCCAGGACAGGCAGGAATAGTGAAACCCAGCAGTTTTGCTTGTAGGAAAAGAAAAAAACTTTAAGCAAATAATTAAAGGATATACACAAGCATCAAGTAACATGGATGCTTATCATACCTATTTTCTAAAAGTAAAATCAAGAAAAAAAAAACCCTAAATCTCTAAACTGGATGAGTAAAACATACCCACATAATGAATAGCAGCCTTTAAAAATAAAATCCCGACTCATAATTATAGATGTAGGAAAATGCTAAGCATCAAAACTAAAATGAATTATGAAACATATGACTTAATTTTTGCAAACACATACTTATAAAATATACTATACATTTGATATGTATTATATATTTTTCCATAAAAGCGTTAGCACATTTTTCAGAATACTTTTAAAAGGCTATTTCCAAATGCTACAATTACAGTTCCTTCCTTCCTTCCTTTTTCTCTCCTTCCCTCCTTCCCTCTCTCTCTCCCTCACTCTTTTTCTTTTATTGAGATGAGGTTTCACTATGTAGTCCTGACTGGCTTAGAACTCCCTAGGTAGACTAGGAAGGCTTACAGAGATCCACCTGCCTGTTTCCTGAGTACTAGCATTAAAGATGGCTGCCACTATATCCAAACATATTTTTCCTTAATTCTGACTTACATTTTCTAAGTTAGCTAAAAGGAGAAGAAAAGAAAAGAAAAGAAAAGAAAAGAAAAGAAAAGGGAAGAAAAGAAGAAAAGGGAAGAAAGGAAAAGAGAGAAAGAAAGAAAGAAGAAAGAAAGAAAGAAAGGAAGGAAGGAAGGAAGGAAGGAAGGAAGGAAGGAAGGAAGGAAAGTAGTAGAAGAGGAGAAGGTGGAGGAGGAGGAAGAGGAGAAGAAACGGAGGACAGAGGAAGAAGGAAGGAAAAAGAAAAGGAAGGAAGCAAGGAAGAAAAAAAAAAAAAAGAAAAATCAACTAGCATGACACTCTATTACCCATAAAATCAATACTTTCATCTAACAACCCAGTTACCCAGAGGAGCAGAATCAATTTTTTTCCAAGGATTGAGATACGTTTTTTTCTCTTTCCAATCAGAATATTCCTGACAGCTGTCACTGGGCTGGTCCCACGGCAATTCTAAAAATAGAACAAGTTGCAGTTTTCTGAATGTTCACAAAATTATGTAATAAAGATTTCAAGAAAAAAATAAGCACACAAAATAAAAATGAACAATACATTAAAAAAAAAAAAAAAGGCTTCCTCCACAGTAATTCAATATGGTTTTCACACTATGTTTCACAGAAACTACTCTTTCAAAGGTATCACATGAGTGCTAGAGATAGAGCTTTGTGGCAGAATGCTTGCCTGGCAGGTGGTAGGCCCTGTGTTCAATCTCCAGCAACCCCAAAGTAAGTGTTGAGATTTTCATTTAATAGCTATATTTCATATAAATAAATCTCTGGGTTACAAGTTTCAAGGTAGTTAGAAATAATATGCAAATTATAGGGTTAAACGCTTGCTTCCCCTCTAAAATTTATACTGAAATCCTAACCCCCAAGATGATGAATGTAAGAGCTTATTTGGAGGTTCTAGTACAGGACTGTAGCTACTCATATACACTTGAAGGATGACCATTCAGGGAAAGTCGTCCTCTTCAACCCAGCCTACAACTTCAGGGGAGGAATTGGGGGGGGGGGGGGGACACACCAGCTCTGCCAGCCAGATCAGCCAACTCAGCCCCTGCCATCAGCCAAGGGAAAGATGTTGCAGCTGGGTGACTCATTCTCACATTCCCAATGTGATGATTCTGCATGTGGGGCCTCTGTGGGGTGACTGGGTCATGAGTATGAAAGCCCTCAAAAGTGGGATCTGGGTCCTTATGGACGCAAACTCTTTAGTGTGCCTCTCCTCTCAGTAAGATGGATCAACTGCAAGGCAGGAAGAGGTCAGAAAATGACCATGCTTGACCTTCAACACCCAGACTTCAAGCCTTCATAATTTGTATGAAATAAATCTGCTGGTTATAATGCATTCACTGAAAGGTACTTAGTAACTGCAGCCTAAAGCAATTAGTTAAACACTAACACAAATTTATTACAGATCTGCAGAGATGGCTCTGCCACTAAAGGCTCCACTTACAACCTTTCTATTACAGAATCAGGTTTCCTTGGGTTATTTCATTATTGTCTTGCTGTAAAAAATCTGACTTTTCAGAGAAAAGAAGTTTTGTCATGATTAAACAGCCTTACCTCCAGCCAACATTGCAATAAGTACTATTCCACAGGACCAAATATCAACTGGTTCTGCATGAAATTCTTTTCTCTTTAGCAGCTCTGGAGCAACGTAAGGTAAAGTCCCACACATCTTGTTTAGTAAACGTTCACGATTATTGTGCCGAAACACTGTTGCCAAGCCAAAGTCAGAGATTTTGAGGTTATCTAAGCCAAAAGGAGAAAAATGCAACAACATTGCATTAAAGATCTACAAATTCATACATGTATATGAATTACTGAAAATAATACTGGTTTTGCTAAAGGCTTATAGAAATTTTTCTACCTGAAAATAGCAAAAGAAATCTATGTATGTGTAAAAGAAGAAAAAGTAAAAAGCACCATCATTTATACTAAGCAAAGACCTCAATTCTTATTAACTAAAGAGAAATAAGAACACAAAAACCATTTTCTACCAGTTTAAATAAAGATGCTGTGGCTGCCCTCCTGGAAAACAAACCTAGGAGACTAAGCTTTGCTGATGACTAAGCATAGCTTCCTCAACGACAAAAGACCTCAGTTGGCGAAAAGAAAATGTATAAAGATATATCAAACTCAACTGAAAACTGAGAAGCCTCAAGAACTTGTCCAAGTAGCAAATGTGAGAAAAGCAGAAACTCCAGGACAAACTTGTACTCTGTCCTCCCATCTTTATCACATACAAACTGCACAAAGAACTTCCATTTCAATATACTACATGAATGTCTACTGCATGCAAGTAACAAGCATTGTATTGGCTAATGCAAGTGATAAAGTCAGTGAAAAAGACTGATAATAATCCCTGGTTATACTGGCCATAAAAATACAGATTATAGAATGTTGTAGCAAAGGGTTCTGACTAAGAAGTTAGGAAAATCCCTACTATGAGAGATTATCAATAAACACAAACTTTTTGAAAGCAGTTTAGCCGAAGTATCAAAATTTGAAATATTCACTCTTTGAACTAACGATTCTCACTTCTAAGATCATATCCACCCACAAGCAGAAATCCCACAAACTGATAAATGTAAGGATTTTTGTAATACCAGTTATAAATTTCCATCAATAAATGACAAGATCTTATACACACATACAATGAATATGGAAATGATTAACAAAAACAAGGTACATGTACTTACACAGAATCAGATATGTCAAAAAAGGGCTAGTGGCATTAACAAATCTCAAATATATATTTTTGTACTGGGTAATTATTATTCTAACTTAAAAACAAATGTCATCACATAGGAGAACCTTTAAAAATCAATTATGTTCACACCACATAACACATACACCAATATATTTGCTTACCTATATTTAACTTTGAAAGATATGCTGCTATTACATTCCCTCCCCCGTCCCCCAAAATGGGGTTTCTCTGTATATCTGTGGCTGTCCTGGACTGTGTAGACCAGGCTGGCCTCAAACTCACAGTAATCCCTTTGCCTCTGTCTCTCTCAGTGCTGGGATTAAAGATGTGCACTACCACACCTGGCTGCAATTACATCTTTTTAACAACTATATGAAATAAAAACTGGACCAACAACTGAGATTACAACTTCAAAAGAGCAGTCACTTTGAAGACTAATGGTTTAGCACAGTTTGGCCTCTTTTGGGTTTGGTTGTTTCATAGCATCTGCACCATAATATTATTAAGTTAGAAAACTACAGATAATGAATCCAAAATTTAGGAATATATATGTCTGTGAAGAACAGAAGGAAAAATTTTAGATACTGGTGACATTTTATTTCTTTAGCTTATTAGCAAATACTAAATAGAAACAAAATAAATAAGAATAACAGTATAAACAAGACGTGCTTGTTAGACACTCATCAGAATATTTGTATGACATTTTTAATTCAAACTATATTTAAGCCAGGTAGTGGTGGTGGCAGCTCATGACTTTAATCCTAGCACTTGGGAGGCAGAGGCAGATGGATCTATTCAAGTTCAAGGCCAGCCTGGTCTACATAGTGAGTTCCAGGTCAGCTAGTGCTACACAAAGAAACCCTGTCTCAAAACAACTAGATAAACAAACAACAAAAAACAAACTATTAGATAGATAGATAGATAGATAGATAGATAGATAGATAGATAGATAGACAGACAGACAGATAGAAGAAATCCATATAAAAAAAATAAAATAAAAATAGCTTGGTGGTTCTTAATCCAAGCACTTGGAAGGCAGAGGCAAGCAGATCTCTGAGTTCACAGCAGCCTGGTCTATAGAGCAAATTCCAGGACAGCCAAGTATACAAAGAGAAACTCTGTCTCAGAAAAAAACAAACAAACTACATATACCTGTACATATACTCTCTTGCCTTTTCAGTGCTGCCTACCATTCAGTTTTGCTTCTACTTGTGCTACTGTTATATGTTTCTATACCTAAATCATAATTTGGGTTTTGGACTTCATAAAAACAGATGCCTCAAACTCAGAGATACACCTGCCTCTGCTTCCCAAGTGCTGGGACTAAAAGCATGGGCCACCACCCCCTAGCTAACTCAGAGCATTTTTAGATGTGATTGTTGATTTTATTATATTTTTTTATTCACTTTACATCCTTACAGTAGCCCCATCCCTTCTATCCTTGTGCCTCCCCTTCCCCCTTTTTCTCAGAAAAGGGAAGTTCCCTTTCCCATCCACCAGAGCTCACCAAGTTCCATCAGGACTGAGCATGTCCTCTTCCCCTTAGCCCTGGCAAGGCAGTACCACCAGGGCAAGTGAGTCTGTGTCCAATGCACTCTCCATTTCCCTTGCTAAAGGACCCACATGAAGCCTAAGGGAGCCTAGGTCCAGTTCATGCATGGTCCCTGGTTGATGCTTCCAACCCAGCAAGCCTTTCTAGGCCCTTGTTAAATGGCTCAGTTGGTCTCCTTGTGGAGCTCCTGTCACCTCTGGGTCCTTTTCTCTTTCCTCCCACTTTTCCATAAGACTACCTTACACATCGTCCAACGTTTACATGTGAGTCTCAGAACTGTTGATTTCTTTAAAGTCAGGGGGGAAGACAGGTGTTTACTATACTTTATTACAACATGTGATAAAAATCTTGTGTGCTAACTTTTTATGTATTTTCTAAGTTAGTATATAAAGCAATGGGTTTTATTATGATATATATAAATGAACACACGTCAACATAATAAAAAATCTATATATGATAAATCTATAGCCAACATCATCCTGAATGGAAAAACACTTGGAAGCAATCTCACTGAAGTCAGAAGTAGGAATGCTCACTATCCCTGCTCCTTTTTACCACTATGCTCGAAACACCAAGTAGAACAGGCAAAAGAAGGAAATTAAAAAGGTACACTAAAAAGTAATTATCCTCATTTGCAGATGGCCAGAAAACCTCTAGAAATGATAAACAAATTCATCAGTGTAGGAGAGCAAAGAATCAACATGAGCAAATGAGTAACTTTCTACATAACAACAAATACAGAGAGAAAGAGAACATGAGCATATCCCCATTTACAATAGCCCCAAGGAAAATAAAACATATAAGAATAAACCTAACTAAGTGTGATGGCTATTCTTGGTTGTCAACTCTTGACTACATTTAGAAGTAACTAAAACCCAAGCAAGCAAGGTACACATGAAAGGGATTTTTCTTGATTGGATTATTTGAGGTGAGAGACACCTTAAATATGGGCTACACCTTCTGGTGGCAGTCCACATAAAAGAACAATGAAGAAAGATTTGTTTTCTGTCTGTTTTTCCTCACTCTCACTAGCAAGTTTCACCTCTCCTAACTCATTCTTTGGCTGGTGTTAGAACCTGCTTCTTCAGGATTCCAACACGAACTGAAAACTGGCAGGTCTCTGGGACCTCCATGGGACTCTAGCACCAAACTGGGACTGCAAAAACATCAAGTCTCATGGACTGAACAACTATTAGATCCTAGACTATAAGTCACGTTAATAAACCTCTTACTAATACACAGATGTATATTAGTTCATTCTATCTTTTCTTTCTTAGAGAACTCTAATATACCAAGGAAGTCACCTCTATAATACACTTTAAACCTCTGAAGAGATAGAGAAGACTCTAGAAAATAGAAAGACAGCCCATGTTTATGGATTGGTAGACTATTATGAAAATGAGCATTCTACCAAAAGCTATTTACAGATTCAACACAATTACAATATAAACTCCCGTCTCATTCTTCATAGAAAAAGAAAACAGTATCCTAAAACTCATATGGAATTGTAAAAGACACTGGACGGTCGAAACTATCCTGAGCAAAAAGAATAATACTGGAGGGATTATAACTACAGAACTCAAGATACATTACATAGCCATAGTAATAAAAAAACAATATGGTACTGACTGACACAAAAACAGGCATGTGATCAATATAACAAAGTCCAAGACCTAAACATAAGCACACGTAACTTCAGCCATTTACTATTTGACAAGATGCCAAAAACATACACTGGAGGAAAGAAAGCATCCCCAACAAATGGTGCCTGAACAACTGGATGTTCCCATGCAGAAGAATGGAAAATTACTCTAAATGGATCAAAGACCTAAATGTGAAACCTGAAACACCGAAACTGCTAGAAGAAAACATAGGCAGTACCTACCCTCCGTGACATAGATGTTGGAAAGGACTTTCTGAATAGGTCATTTGCCCAAGAATTAAGGCCAATGATTGACAAGTGGGACCTCATAAAAGTGAAAAGGTTCTGCAGAACTAGAGAAACAGGTGAAGACAAAGCCCATACACAAAATGGAAGGGAGATAAATAAGAGAAGGGGAAAAGAGGGATTAAATAACAATAAGGATGTCTGAAAATGCATAACAAATCATTCTCAACAAAGGATTAATATCCAGAATATATAAAAACCTTAAAAAACAAAGACTGAGAAAAACAAATGACCCTTTAAAAAAAGGGGGGGGGGGGGGCTGAGACCTTAATAGAGTTCATTAAAACAACAACAACAACAACAACAAATGGGCCTGAGACCTTAATAGAGAGTTTGTCAAAACAAAACATAAAAACTAAGAAATGGCTCAAAAATGTTCACTGTCCCTAGAAATTAGGAAAATGCAAATGAAAACAACTCTGAATTTTCATCTTACCCCAGTCAAGTGGTAAAGAACAATTGACAACAAATGCTGCAGGGAATGTAAAGAAAAGAGAACCCTCATTCACTGTTGGCAAGATTGTAAACTGTTCAAAACACTCTGGAAATCACTGTAGAAAACTTTCAAAAAGCTACAAATAAATCTACTGTATGCATGACCCAGCTTTATTAACACTTGGCATATGCACAAAGAACTTACATTCTACTCCACATGTACCTGCTCAGCCATGTTCATTGATGTTCTCTTCACAAAAGCTAAGAAACAGAAACAACCTAAATGCCCTATAACCTAAAAAAACTGATGATGAAAATGTGGTAGAACTACACTATGAAATACTATTCAGCTGTAAAGAAGAATGAAATGATGAAATTTGCAGGTAAATGAATGAAACCAGAAAGATCATATTGAGTGAAACAACACAGACTCAGAAAGACAAAGTGCATGTTTCCTATCATTTGGGGCCCTAGATCCAATCTTCAGAGGTAAGGACATATCTTTGGAGTAACTACAGAACCCAGGGCAGTAAAAAAGGACCATTGTCAGGTTGGGGAAAGGGGTGAAGCAACAGAGAGGAGAAGAAAAGGGTGCAAGTGATCTGATGAGAAAAATGGAAAAACGGATGAGGGCTCTAATTGTGGGAGAGGATAAGTGCAGAAGGAGGGAAGAGGGTTTAATAACAGGACTTCTGAAAATGTCAAAATCATACTATTAATTATCTACCTAAAAATAACTAAAATACACATAAGTCAATGTGTAAATATAACATAGTTGAAATGAAATCTTCCCACCTGGAATAATAGTTCTCCTTCTGGGAGCCAAAAACCATCTAACAAAAACTCCCAACAGCAGACATGAGAACCTCTCTTTTGAGTTCTGTTAGTCAAGGTTGTCCAAGAGACTCCCAAAACATTACAGGACACTGCTACTGACCATGGTTGCAAAGGTAGAGGGTAAAGTTCTTGTTGCTAAACACACTGGACACAGAGCCCAGAGGCTCCTGAGCTGGAACTGACCTGAAAGCCTCCTCCCTGTGGACTAGCTTTCTTGGTACCAGAAGGCACCATGCAAGCTTCCAAAGGAGGAAAGCAACTGACAGTCTTACCCAGCTATGATGCCTATGAACTACAGCCACCACCAGCATGGCACAATAACCCTAAGAGTATGGTAGTGGCACACATACCTTGACTCTCAAATTGGATGTAGAGAGAAATCTTGCCTAGTATTAGAAATCGAGCCAACTACAGAGGGCTACTGAAACCACAGATCTTGGAGAATTTAGAACTGCCACTTTCCTAAACCAGTATAACCCCTAACTACATTTTAAATATTTGTTCTTATACACAAAGATAAGTGTGTCCTCACCCCTCATTAGGGAAATGTTGGTATCCAACAGACTGAGGCCATTACAGACTACCAAAATGCAGAGTTGTAGAGCCCAGTCCCCGTGGATACATCTACAAGTCCTGGAACTGAGGCTCAGGGATCACTGCAGAAGAGCCGGCAGAAAGGAAGTTTGCTGTAAGACTCTCTTGAGGAATGTCAGAAGCTACATGAATCTTGAAGATCCTAAAACTATGAAGTCTCACCAACATGACAGCCTAAACATGAGCTAACAATCCCAATAACTAACATGCCAGAGCCCTGGAGGTCTCAACCGTACACAAAGAATTTCCGGGATAGAGCATATCAACTGTTTATTAAGTACCAAATGGCCAGCCCTAAAAATATGCATACAAGCAAGTCCAGGACAGCCAAGGGTACGTAGAGAAGCCTTGTCTCTCTAAACAAAAAATAGACAAGCAAACAAAACAACAATAAACAAATCAAAAAAACAAACTAGCAATAAACCTAAGCAAGAAAGTTAAACAAAAAACAAAACACTACAATGAATGCCTTAAGACACTGAAAAGAAACTGAAACTTTAAGCAATTTATAGATCCACAGTCACTATCAAAATTCCAATGACATTCTTCACAGAACTAGCAAATTACAATGCTAGTCCAGGAGCAAAACTAGAAATGTCATTAACACCTGATCTCAAATTACACTAAAGACCTACAAGTACATCATGACAAAGGCAGAAAAACATCACGACAAAACAGAAAACATAACCAAGGAGCCAGAAATAAACACACAGCTACCATCACCTGAGAAAGAATTTTTCCCTTCATTTTTTTGTTTATTTGTTTGTTTGTTTGAAACAGGGTCTCTCTACGTTGTCCTGACTGTCCTAGAAACTAGAAACTCACTATGTAGACCAGGCTGGCCTTGAACTCAGAGATCCACCTCTTTCTGCCTCCCAGGTGCTGGGATTAGAGGTATACATCATTTTTATTTTATGTGTATGGGTGTTTTGCCTGTATACCATGGAGGCCAAAAGGGCTTTGATCCTCTGGGAAGTAGAGTTACAGATGGTTGTGAACACCTTGAGTGCTGGTAATTGGAACCCAGGGATCTTGGGGAAAGCAGCCAGTGTTCTTAACCTCTGATCCATCTCTCCTGCCTCTAACCCCTAATTTAACAAAGGGTCAAAACATACATTGGAAAAGGTCTGCATCATGAACACTATGGTGCTGGAAAAGTCCGATATGAAAGGATGACATTATGGAGATAACCTAGAACCCATGCACAGATGTAGCCCTTGGCAGTCTCCAAGTGGGTTCCCTAGTAATGAGAACAGGGACTGTCTCTGACATGAACTCAGTGGCTGGTTCTTTGATCACCTCCCTGAGTGGAGAGTAGCCTTACCAGGCCACAGAAGAGGACAATGCAGGCAGTCCTGATGAGACCTGATAGGCTAGGGTCAGAGAGAAGGGGAAAAGGATCTTCCCTATCAGTGGACTTGGGGAGGGGCATAGGAGATGAGGAAGAGAGGGTAGGATTAGGAGGGGCGAGGGAGGGGGCTATAGCTGGGATACAAAGTGAATAAACTGTAATTAATAAAAAATAAATTAATTTTAAAAAAAGGATGGAATTAAATCCATTTCTCATCCTTTGCACAAAATCATATGCAAATAGATCAAGGCCCTTAAGATGAGATCTTAAATTCTGAATAACTGCTGGAGAAAAACAAGCACCCACAAGACGTGGATAAGCACAGGCAAGGGCAGTGTAGGACATAGCCAACAGGGTAACACAAAATCTTTTCCAATTATATATCTGACATGAGCTTGAGATCTATGTTTGCAGAACTCCAAACTTTAAACAAAACACAAAGCATCTAATCAACAAGTAGTGGATGAATTTAACAGATAGTTGCCTAACAAAACACACAAAAACTTTTTTTAAAAGGCCAATGAATACTGGAAAAAAATGCTCAACATCTTCAGCCATGAGGGAGTTCCAGGAGTTCAGAAATGTGAAAGCCTTGTTTGGGTCTATATGACTAACCTAAAATATAACATTAACAAAATGGTAATCTTACCCCTTTCATCCAAGAGAAGGTTTTCTGGTTTAATATCTCTGTGAGTTATTCCAATTCCATGCAGATAAACCTAGGTGGAAGGTTAAACAGTGGAATTTAGCAGTTTACCTCATTTATGCTAATTTTAAGCAAAGTGAAAGAGGGTAGGGTACCTACCACCCCTGCCATGAGTTGATGGAAAAACCTCTGAGCATCTTGTTCCGGCATGCCTATGTCTGGCTCTGTAAGAAATAATTATTGATAGTATACTGAAAGACTGTAGTCAGGCATCAACCATATAGGATCTTAAATCTTTTCTCATTTATGCTTCTACTTAAGCAAACATAAACTTCTACTAACAAAAAAAGAGTCAGCTCCAAGAACAAATACATGAGTAAACATAACATCTTTGTACATGCTAAGTAGTAAAAACACCCTAACATCATATCAAAGTATTTTAATCTTACGTTAACCCCAATGGACTTGATTTCCTTCAAAGTTTCCCCTACATCTTTTAAACACAAAGTTCAGGGCCAGAAGACTAGGATTTGATTTTCAGCACTGATGGCTTACAACCATCTGTCAGCTGCAGGGGATCCAGTGCCCTCTTCAGGCCTTTTAGAGCACCAGCCATGCCTCCATGGGCACCAGGCATACACATGGTACACAGAATACAAAACAGCCATAAAGTAAATAATGTTCAACAGGTTCTGTTTTCCCCAGTGTTTTAGTATGTCTGACAACAGGGAAGTCTAGTAAATTTCATTACTTAACTGATTTAAGCCATAAAATTTTCACACTACAAAGTCAAGAATGCCTGACTTTTTATTCCAATTTTACTGTTGCATATCCAACTCTAAAATAAAATTAATTAAACAGCTATTTAACATTTAAAATACAGCTGAGATGGTTGGGTATGGCAGTGCATGCCTTTAATCCCAGCACCCAGGAGGCAGAGGCCTGCAGATCTCTGAGTTCAAGGTCAACCTGGTCTACAATGCGAGTTCCAGGACAGCCAAGACTACAGAGAAAACATGCCTCACCCCCCAAAAAAAGTTACCAGCTGAGAATGTGGCTTAGTAGTGGACCAGCTGAAGGGCCTGTGTAAAGACTCTGTGTTTAATTTCCAGCAAAACACACACAACTTAAAAACTTGTTCAGTAAAATAATTTATCGTAATCTTTTCCATACCTATTCTATCAAAAAGTTCTCCTCCACTACAGTACTCTAGGAACAGATACTGGATATTGCCTTCCCTCCTGTGGCCATAGAATTTTACTACGTTCTCATGATTTAACATCTTATTGATGCAGATCTCTTTCTTAATATTTTCTGGACAGTCTATGGCCCGCTTCATGTCTACAATTTTCACTGCAACAGCTTCTTCAGTTATTCTATTCACAGCAAGCTGAACCCTTAAAGAGAAAAGAGAGAAAGTTACAACATTTTCACCTCAGAATTCTATTTCTCCTAAAACTTCAAAAGATTATTGACACATGCCTGCAATTCCAGCATTCTAAAGACAAAGAAAAAGGGTCCAAGTTCAAGGTCAGCCTGGGCAACAAAGAAACTCTAAAAAAAAAAAAAAAAAAAAATTAGCAAGCGATGGTGACACTTGTCTTTTAGCAGAGCTCTTGGAGTTTGAGGCCAGCCGGGTACATAATGAGACAGGGTACATAATGAGACACAGTCTCTAAAATAAATACATAATTTTAAACAGTTTCCATTTTTCCCAATTGGAGGGTTGGAGGGGGCAGCCTGGAGAAATGGCTGAGCAGTTAAGTGAACTTGCTTCAGACAGTACAATTCCCAGCACCCACAGGGTAGCTCATAACCATCTGTAATTCCAGTTCCCGGGGATCGCACACCTCCCTCTGGCCCTCATCAGAAAGATACACACATGAACATGTAGGCGAACACTCATACATGTAAAATTTCATAAGAGGCAAAACAAAAGACTACTTTCTTCATCAAGGAAAATGAAATGGGTTTCTGCCGTGTTATGGAAAGCAATGAAACGAAATATGAAGCACTACAGTTAATCTCCAAGAAGGTCATTACCTTGTGCATGCAAGTTATCTAATAAGTGACTAATAAATTTCTAAAAGATAATAGCAATTCTAGATTACATCACACACATACATGGTGCAGTCACACAACAACATTACTGTACATCTATTAACCTCATGCATATGTGCCTTCAGTAATATGTTAGCACCTCTGAAGTAAGTGCCATTAATTCTATCCTCAAATGAGGAAACAGGCACATAAAACTTGCTCAAGAACACAAACCAAAACCAGGACCTGCTACTGTGTGAGGATCTGAAATTAGGCGGGATGCCTCCAGGGTCTTTTTTGGGGGGAGGGGGGGGTCTTTTTTTTATGTCATTTAAATCTTAAAGACACAATGGTTTGTTAACAAGTAACTCTCTTATAAAAGAACATTTTATAAAAAAAGAAAAAAGAAAAAAAAAAAAAAAAAAAAAAAAAAACCCTGGGTCAACTAACACAGGCTTGAAATATCTAGCCGGGGGGCTATAGTGTCCTAGAGTTCAAGGCTAACCTATGCAATTTAACAAGATTTTTATCTGAACAAAAACAAAACAAAGGAGAAATCTATTGTTCTTTTTCCAGGCCCAGCATGTGTGAAAGGAGGATCCGGTGTAGATATGTAACCTCACCTGCTAAGAGCCTTGACTTCAAACGCAAATATCCATAGTCTTTGCCTCTTAAAATAAAGGATTTAAGCGTGTACTCAAACAACAGGTGGAAAACTGAAGCAAGCAAACGGGCCAGGTAAAATTTAAACCAGGGAGGCCATCAAGTTGAATAAGCAGATAAAGCTGCCTGCTACCAGGCCTGACGACCTGAGTTCAGTCCTCCGACCCCTCAAGAGATCAAGTTCCGGCAAGATGTCCTCTGACCTCCACACGGGTGCGCACCGCACAGTGGCAGAACACAAACACACACACACACAAATGTAATAATAAAAAAAGTTAATGAGGGCTCAAACTTACTCTCCATAGGCACCTTCTCCCAGAGTTTGCACCAAGTCCCAGTCTTCCACAAAAGGCACGGCCATGACTCCAAGCACTGCGGCTGTAAAATGCAGGATCCCAGAAAATGGGAGGAAGGAGTGTAAACGCTCATCACCGGTGATACCACGGAGCCAGGGCTCTTGCCATGATTCTGCATGAATCTGGATTCCCCTTAGAGCTTATCCAGATTTGCCCAAGTCACGATACTAAATTTAAGCATTCTGCCCTGTATATCACAAATCCTGTTTCCACGGTTTTCCTCGGCCTTTATGCAACACTGGGCACTTGCTGGGCTCCGAGGTTGGGAGACCAAAGCTTCCTCTCGGGGAATGGCCCGGAAAGGTAGGAGCTGCGGGCAGAGCGCGGGGCAGGCGGTAGCTACGGTAATTACTGCCAGATCAGCCCCTCCTCCCCCCGCTCACTTCCAATTCCCACCCTAACGGCACGTGTAACCAGCACCCGGAGGGAACGGGGCGGGGCCGAGCCGCCCGGACGAGCGGAAGGCACGGACCCCGGGCCGGAAAAGCGTGCGAACCCCGGAGAGCCACAACTCTGAGCCCTTTACGCTCGGGAGGCACGGGCCAGCGGCTGCAGCCGCGCTCCGGGCGGCCCTCCCAGCTCTCCCCTGGTCAGGACCACTCCCTCACCGTGCCCGTCCGCACTCAGCAGGACCTCCGAGGCCTCTGCTGGAGTCCTTCTCCACCTTTCGGGGCGCCCCTCTCGCCCAGCAGTCCTTTGCCAGCTACCACAGGAATCCAAATGCAGAGCTTTTCCCGCCAAAACTTGCTTGCGTCATGCTGTCGCAAACGCGCACACCTCTGCCGTAAAGCTGGCCGGCGCGCGTTGTTCTATCCCGGGCTCTGAAGATAAGCCGTTTCGACAGACCGACCGAGCAGGGGGCCCTCCTTCTAGTGCCTGAGCCTGCCCCTCCGCGCTCCTGCCGAGTCCGTGTAAGACACAGGCTGACGATATTTGGAATTGACGACCGCCTTGGTGCGAATTGACCCGAGTCCCTGGGTGAAATGGCAGCGGGCATGTGCCCCGCTGGACGCCTTACATTGTTCCAGAGAGGCGCCGAAGCCTCCATCCAGACCGGGCATCAGTTGGGCCCTGGACAAAAGCATTGGGGTCCTTGCCCCTCTGAGCCTACAAAGGCTGCACCGTTAACTAGGTAAACCGACCAGCTCGTGACCTCGGAGACCCTGCCAGGAAGAGCTTGTGAGATTTAAACTAAGCGCTACAAAGTGCTCCGTAAACGCTACATTGTGCCCCCCTTAGTATTCGAACTGAGAAGCCAGCAACTGCTGTTGGAATTAATTCTGTGAATTTAAAAAAAAAAAAAGAAGAAGGAAAGCAAGTGTGGTAGGGCATGCTTGTAGACCTAGAATTTGGAAAGCGTAAGCAGGAAAATCGCGAGTTCAAGGCAACCTGAGTTATACAGGCTTAGTCTTCTCAAATGAAAAACGAAATAGTTTTCTTTTTTAAATGACCACACTGCCACCCCTGCGAGACGGGGCAGTTTTGCCTACACAAGCTTCAAAACTAGTTCAACCTAACCTGTTTGTAGGAAGACCATTTGCTTAGCTTAGTTTTACTAGCTTTCTTATTCTTTGTTTTTGTTGTTTTCAAGATAGGGTTTCTCTGTAGCTCTGGCGGTCCTGGAACTCACTTTGTAGACCAGGTTGTCCCTGAACTCAGATAGGCAAGCCTCTGCCTCCTCAGTGCTGGGATTAAAGGCATGCACCTCCACGCCCGGTTCTGGCTTTAAAGGCCAGGTTCACAACCAAAAATTTAAGAAAAGCCAGGCACTGGTGGTGGATGCATTTAATCCCAGCACTTGGGAGGCAGAGACAGGAAAATCTCCAGAGTTTGAGGCCAGCCTGGTCTAGAGAGCAAATTCCAGGACAGCTAAGGCTACACAGAGAAACCGTTTCAAAAAACATACATACATTTCTATGTGAGCTTTTTAATTAAATGAGTATGGTGGCCAACCCTTCTAATACCACACTATGGAGATGAGACAGGAGAGAGCCAACCAGTTGCTCTCTTTCAAACAAACTGCAAGATGAAATCCCAGTCTAGGGAAGCTGAGGCAGGGGGAACTACTTCAGTTTGGTCAGCCTAAGCCAAAATATGACCCTCTCTAAAAAAAGAGGTGGGCAGGTAAGCACAATAAATGGCATAATAGCAGAGTACTTGCCAAGCATGCAGAAGGCCCATACGAAAGTGAGAAATGCCAATTCTAAGGGCCTGGGTACAAAATAATAAGGAAAAACTATGCTGGCTACACGAATGCTTTGCCAGTGAACATCTCCAACTCCAAAAATTCTGTCAAAATTGAAGGTTGAAACACCTGCAAATGTCTATAAAGTTAAAAACCATGACATCAGTTGAGGATTCATGTGATGAAAACAGTTTTCATATTACTTCCCATTTCTTCGTAATTTCCTGTCTTTAAATCAATGAATACAAATACCTAGGAGATTCTTCTATTCCTGAATGGAATCAATGTCTTATCACTTGAAAAAGAATACAGATTCAGGCACAGTATCTGTGCTCTGACTGGGGGGAGGTATGTGTGTGTGTGTATGTATGATCTTCTACTGTGCATATATGTATGTATGTCCTTATATGACCCATTAGGCAGGTGAATACAGGAGGATCATTAGTTCAGGATCACGATGGCTATACTAGAAGTTCGAGGACAACCTAGGCTGATTAAAAGAAAATTGGCACAGAAGAGTAACTAAACAAATGGGGGAGGGGGGCCCTCATGATAAAACTTACTAAAAATATCTACAAAGGAATAGCGTTAAGAAGAGAGATGGCATAACACTGGCCTACAATCACAGCACTTTGGAAGGAGATGCAGGAGAATAACGAATTCAAAGCCACCTTTAGCTGTACATTAAGTTTGCAGCCAACCTGGGCCATACAAGACTGTCTTTAAGGGGAGTGGGTACCTAACAGATAGCTTCTATTCCTTTCTGAGTATGAGAAAACTTTGGTTAAGTGAAAGCCTACTGAATATAAAAGGTAACAAGCACAAAATAAAGATTAATCCCAAAGACACCAGTGACAGTGCAGAAAAGTGCCTTGACTTGTATCGTGAGAAGCCCAGAAGACTCAAGTTGAAATGATGACAGCAGGCAACTCTGAACATGGAGTTCAAGTGGGGCAATCACAAGACTGCCTATGAAGCAGAGATGTCTGAACACCCTTCCTGTTGTATAACCAAGGAAGAGCTCTTCCCCAAAGCTGGTAATGTTTTCAGTCTAAATAAATGGTAGCTGAACTGTAGAGCAGACACACTAAAAGGTGTTGCTATCCGCCTAAAAACAGCAATTAAGTGTATGTACTGAGAGTTGAACCCACACACTTTCTTCTAATTTACTCCAGAAAGGTGAAAGCTTGACCAATATCCTTGAATATGAGAACATATAAACCTTGAATCTTATGTACAAAAGGAAACCTAACACCAATATATTATATATGGAAGAAAAAGGAAATCTAACACTAGTATCTCTCAGTGTGCCATGCCAGCCCCATCAGATCACAGTATACTGAAAAACAAAACCTCACTATCCATAACCCTTTCTACTACCCAGTCTTTAAAAAATAAAAAAGCAGTCATCAAGAATTCGGAAAAGTCTTTAATTGGAAAGGGAGCAAAAGAATGGGAAGTCAAACAACAAAAGAGCTCTTAAGACTTCAGAAACATGAAAGCGGAAAAGAATGTTTGAAAATATAGTTGAAGTTCAAGATGTAGCTCACTTGAGAGTGGTAGCTAGCATGCAGAGGGCTCCTGGGTTTAAATACACACACGCACATGGAGGGGGTCAATGAATGAGTGAAAAGGAAGCTGAGGAAATCTCCCCAGAGATGGAAGATAGAAGATCAACTAAGAAATTTTTGGAAAACTGACTCACAAAGCCCCACATTCACATAACTTTATCATGGGACTGGGGAGTTGATTCAACAGTTAAGACCAATGCCTGGAGCTGGAGAGTTGGCTCAGAGGTTAAGAGCACTGTCTGTTCTTCCCAGAGGTTCTGAGTTCAATTCCCAGCAACCATATGGTGACTATTAACCATCTATAACGAGATTTGGTGCCCTCTTCTGGTGTGTGGGTGTACACGCAGACAGAACATTGTATACATAATAAAAAAAAAGGCCAGGCGTGGTGGTGCACGCCTGTAATCCCAGCATTCCAGGAGGCAGAGGCAGTCGGATTGCTGTGAGTTCGAGGCCAGCCTGGTCTACAAAGCAAGTCCAGGCCAGTCAAGGGTACATAGAGAAACCCTGTCTCAAAAAAACAAAACAAAACAAAGACCAATGGCTGTTCTTCCAAACATGGCAGCTCACAACTGCCTGTAACTCCAGTTCCAGGGATCTGATATCTGGATTTCTCTGTGATTTCTTCTGGATACTGTGGTCACCAGGCATGCACATGACACACATACATATATGCAATTAAAAACACCCACCAAACACATACCAAAAAAATAAATATTTAAAGTGTCATGCTTTGTTGCCTAAAATTTAAGAGTTTTAATTAGCCTTCCTAAAAAGGCTAATTAAAACTCTTAATTAGAAAGGAATCTATATGACACAAGTGTTTTGTTTTGTTTAAAAAAACAAAAAACAGAGAAACATGACTATGCACACATGATCAGGCAGGAGGCAACAGTGGGAGGTTCAGCAGAGCTGGAAGTAGAATCTGGGAGGGGTTGGTGTACGGGTGCACATGTGTGTGATGAAGTTTTTTTAGATGGAATTTTTTTTTTTACACTAAGTGGACTATAACTGAAAATGTAATCAATTTAAAAAAGAAATCTGTGTAGAATAGAAAATATCAAGATCTCAGGAGTCACAACAATATAAAAAAGGGTTATCCCATTTCTACTATAGAGAAAGCTTACTAATAACTTATAATATTAATAATATACACAGTACATAAACTGGTTTAAATGAGAGGCCCTTAGGTATCTAAGTACACCTAAATATATGCACTGAGTACCGCTGTGACTATCTAAAAGTCATATGACTCCTTTTGCTTTCTTAAATAGAAACACTAATTTTTTTAAGATGGTTTATATATTAGTGATTATGTCCTATGTTGTAAAATACATGAAATGTCCTATTGTACAGGACAGAAAGCTGTTTATCCTGACACAAAGTATCTATGGGATCTCTGTGCTTTTAAGTCAAAAAGTTTTTAAAGTCTCTTTTGTGGCAGTCCAGACTGGCAATGATCCCAAAGCACCTACTAATAGCAATGCTTCCCACTTCCTATTTAGTAAGGGCTTCAAAACCAGGTAATCAAGCCTCAAGTGGTATATGAACACAGCATACTGAAACTAAGAAAAACAGAAGTTCACAGTGGGTAACCCAAGAGACTTAGTCATTCTAAAGAAAATGAGCAAAGAGCCTGTTTACTGTGTTTTAGGTTTAGTGAAGTACGGAATACCTAAATTTCATATGGGTATACACAATTAATTACGTCTGATTCCAGAAACATCTACTGATCGTCAGCCTCTATACATGACGCTGGAGGAGTGTCTTCTCTCAGATTGATATGTTTCAATGAGTCTTAAGAACTACTGGACTAGTCATATTTGGTTCATACTTCTGATTAAAAAATAAAAACCCTCACTTGTTTGAAAGAATGCTAGAAAGATCAGGAATACCTAGCAACTTTCTGTCCTTATAAAGCCGAAGAACTTTTAAAGAAATACACGTTGAGAACACAGACATAACAATAAGAAGCTGTCTTTTTTGCCCAGAAATAGCACTCCTCTG